CGTTCTTAGAGTCTCCTTTGTGAAGCAGGAGGTCGAATTTGCTCTTTGAGAGAGTCTCGTTGGATTCAATGTAGTATATCGGGCTGGAATTAGGACCGGGACTATGAATTTCGTAGGCGCGAAGCTTCCCCTTCGACACGAGTTCATAGGAAGATCCCTTTTCAAATGGAGAATTGACCGGAAGATCCGGCGTGGAGGGTTCGGATTCCATGAGCGACTTCTGTATATTCTCGTGGAGGTGGTTTGGAAAGAGAATTATTATGGAAGACTGCTGTCTCTGGAATTTGTCACCGCGAGGAGGTGTGAAGGAAATGAAGTTGACGATGATGTGCGCTCATCTCTTATAACTACCGGGTGGGGCTTACTGAAAGTAACTATACGCTAAACCCGAGATGGTCAAAACCCGCGAACGCTGATCTCGTATTTGAATCCATGGGTGCTCTGGGTTCCGAACATGATTGGCCCGAAAAAATTATGATAGTATTTTTGGTCAATACTTAACATATATACGAGTAGGAGTACGATCAATTACCAACACCCATTCAAGCTCTAGAAAGAACCAGGACAATACTATGCGACTCATTAACCTGGATATGATACAAAAGGACCACGCCGTGAGAACTTGAATGTCCGTATCTTTTATTACTTATGAAAATGGCGTTGAATAACAAAGCTTGGCTTTACCTAGGTACTTTGATGGGTATTTTTCGTACTTGCCAGAGAGGACTTGATGCTACCACGAAGGGACCAAAAGGCGAGAGATGTGGCAAAAAGGCGATTATGGGATGACTAGCAGCTGGGGCTATCTAGAATGATGAAACAGTGGGTGCAAGGAGACTCAGCATTCTCGTGCTCGCGGCCACCCAGAACTTTTTCCCACACCGTAACAAACAATGCAACGACTGCAACGTCACTCTGGCTGAATAAAGCTCCCGCCCTGCCATCCCTCGCAAAAGCCGATATCACGAAATTATTCATCGCCATGGTTAATAAATTCAGCCCGTCAGAGGCTACAGAAGACTCGAAACCGGACATCGTCATGCGGCTCCGGAGTCATACAAAAAAAAATGAAAACCGAATTCCACACCATTTCATCCTCCCCGCTGTCCTTAGTTGTCGTCAAAGTCGTGATCGTCGTCGTCGTGAATCTCGTAATCGCAATCGTCACTCATCCCAGTCATTTGGTGTCGTCCATTCGAAATGGCCGTGATGTTTGTCGGAATACGGTCATCACGGCAATAGAGGGGCAAAATGGAAGTCCCAAATGTGACAAGAAATACTTCCACGATGGGAAAGAGGATCTTTCTTGATGTTGCAAGACAATAAAAGTTCTCTCTCGATGGTGAGAGGAGATGGAGACGGAGACGGAGACGGGGTTTTAACACACGACAAGACGAGTTTGTCGACACGACGCAATGGACACAACGGGACGCGATGAGATGAGGTCTCGATTGTGACAAGCGACAATATCACATGAAGGGAACGAAAGGAGAGAAATTGGGATGGAGGGAATAGACGAGCTGGAAGCTATCTAGAACAAACGGATCGTGGATGACTCAGCAAAATGGTGCCTGAGGCCACAAATGAATTTTATGCGAACGTTGTCGAGTTTGTACCCAATCTTCTGGTTATCACTTTACATATTGTTCGGGATTCGAATTCCTTCAACAAACCAGGGGACTATGACCCGATACAGCCTTACATGCCACGAAAAAAGTGATCGGTTGATTGTCGACAAACAATCCGATCAGGCCCCGTCTAACTACAGTTCAGCATGGCTGGCTGGTTGTACACAAGGGGCACATCTCTGCGAGTTCGTTACGAGCATTTCTTACGAGCATACCATGACCCCGACTTGTTGCAGCTGACTCTTTGTCCGGTATGGCTAATCCAAACAGGAGTCCACTTGGGCACCTCGTTTTTGCTTTGGTGCCCGAGGAGGTAAAATAGGCGTAAGCGAACGGCCCGTTAAGACATGATATCCCTCGGAGGAAGTGAGGCTGGAATACCAAATGCCTCTCCCCATTTAATTTGCTCACAATTAGCCTTCAAAAATTGCCCGCAAATCAATATTCTTTCTTACAGTCAGAAAGCGTTGAAACCTGAAATAAATCACAGAAATCTTGACTACGATCAAGTTCATCTAAGTTCTTCACAGAGGTAGTCATTCAGTCCTGCATGTCTCACAAAACACCTCCGAACACGCCCATCGCCAAAAATGCGTCCGGGCCAAATAGCTGCTTAGGAAATTGCTCACAGAATGCAATCTGGTCCTACTTTTGCTTCTGCCGCCAACTAAATTCCCTTGGGCGAGTTATTAGTAAAGCAATAATATTCCGTTGTATATTCAATCTCCATTGAAAGGTTGGGATGTGAAATTTCCGCTACATTTTGAGCCCTTTATAGAATTTGAAATTTGTTGCTGCGTACTTAAACAGCGGTGGTGCTTACAGATTGCCTAGAAATAACAAGTATTTTGTACTCCGTACTCCATTAGTATCTAGACCCCACCCGAACTTGAATTTAATGCAAGGTAATAGTTAGATCTTGTTGAATTTGTTCCTTAGGCGATAACTACAGGTTAAAAGCATTTTCAGGCCCGCCATCCGTTACATCTTCTGATCTCAATTTGGGATCAGTATTGGCCTTCAAATAACAGCACTCTACCCGCAATAACGAGCAGAAGTATCATTAAGTAGACGCTCATCCTCTTCTCCCATTCCCCCATAATCATGCACATTGACGTGGCCATAATAAGCTCATACACCCTTGTTGTCCTTATGTCAAGTTCTGACCGTGACACTGCTCCTTCCTCAATTTGGTCTCGATCCCTGAAACTGGAGATGCCTGACTCTTCAAGCACCTTGGAGATCATATTATCAAAAATCCAGAGTCGCCCATACTTGTCGCGATTTATTGCTGAGGAAAATAGACCAATAATGTAGCTCTTACTCCCTGGAAGGTGTGCCACAAGCTTCAAATGACTCAATGGTAGAAGAAGCCTCGCCAATTTATTCTCCACCGGCAAATCCCGAGTTCCCTCCCAAGAGAAACGTATGCCTGCATATTGAAACTCGTATCGTCGGGGGTTGAGAAAAGGAGACGACCATTTAAGTTGCATTGCCTCATCCGCGAATTTAGGTTCGTGAATAGGAACTTCATCAAGTCCTTCTTCCCTTTTCATCTTGCGTCGAGCATTGACACGATCGTGGTAAGCTTTCCCGCTTTCGCCCCAGACTCGCCATGTACGCACTTTGTATCCTGTCAAGGCGCAATAGTCGCCCTTGGTAGTATTGTCCAGCCTGCTTCGATTTTCAAACGGAACCATTCCTCGAGGATCGAGTATGTCGGGCAGGTTTTCCTGAAACTGAACATTCCAGTGACTCCAAAACGGTTCGCTGTATATCAAACAAATTGGATGGCCATCCCTGCGGCTTCCTCGGCGAAGGACGCGTGGAGGATTGCGGAAAAGGAGTTTCGGCTGGTGCAAGAAATAGCTATTGGATTCGTCGCTTCTCCTGTGAAAGTATTCGTGGTCTCCTGCTTCTTCGCTGTCGTTTTGCCTGCTGTTGTCATATCCAAACTCCTTTGTCTTATCCAAGAATGGCGTGATGTGGACGTTATATTCAGGTTCATGATACACGTGATACTCCGACAGAGAGTGTCGCGTAGCCAAAACTTCTTCTAGTGTTGACATGTTGATGTGTTGTGTGTTGCGATCGACCAATAATCCCAAGAGGTGGGAAATGATACAAATTCGGGCGGGCGGGGTGATATTTTACAAGTGTCAAATCTTTCCGGAAATGGTTCGGTCATTGGGGACAAGTGAGGTCTTCTCAGCTTCCAAGGTTTGCCCTGACTGGCCACTTCATGTGGGCCGACCTTTCGGGCAACTCGTAACTATGGGGCTGTGCATGCCATGGGCAGTACATAGCTCTTAACCCCGAAATCCCCACTTTTATGATAGTTTTCTACCAGGACTGTACGAAGTAGCGTTTCGGAAACAAGCATAGTTTATATATTCATTGCATCTTATCACAATCAAAGGTGCAACTGACTTTCCGTGAAAACCTCGCCTCCCTTGGGCGCCACGGTTGGGAAGATGGTGGCCTTGAGGAACACCTTTCCAGGTGCCTTTGGAGTCTTTGTGAAAACGGCACTGCCAATAGGTTACTAATGAGCATCATTTAGGTCGGACAAGTAGTACATACCTTCCACAATTGGAGCAGAAATTCCTCTGTACAAGTTAGATTAGAACACCTCAGAGTTATGAGTTGACATTTGATATAGATGGTTTCAGCTATACCTGAATAACGTTTCCAGTGACAGTATTTGAATCATCATAGATCTTCAGCGCGTGTGATGGATCTTCCACGGTCATATCATCTTCAGAAATGAAATAGTTGACCGAAAAGGCTGTCTAGTGTTAGTTTCGAATCTGGGGTTCCGGATATAGAGGACTGTGATCCTACCACCACCACCAGCTTTCTTGCAGTTGTCACTAGTAAAAGAAACATTAGCTCTCTGAATGCTTTAGACGACACTGGTGAAAACCCCACCAATGACAAAGGATCGAATTAGGAGGTTGCTCGGGGAGCGCAATGCTAACGCTCGCACAGTTGCACGATCCACGGTAAGCCATATTGAATGCTTATGTGAGACCAAACCAATCACCAAAGGTACAACGAAAGGACCTTGGAAGACTGACCCCGGCTACTATTTAACCATTTCCCTCCCCGGTCCGGGCTGAGAGGAGGGGTTATCTTATTCTTCTCCACTTGCAATGGCGGGACTCGGCCGAACACTTCCGCTCATGCTATGACGTCACAGCGTCAAGAAGCAATTGTTTGCGGTCGCAGAAGAGTTTCGTCGATGAAAAGAAAAGGAAAAATTGCAGGTGTCTGATTTTGAGTTTGATTTTCGCCAAGGTTGAGAAAGAGCCGGACTATACAGGCTATGAAGGCTATAAAGGCTATAAAGGTGGCTGGAAGGAGTAGAGATTATTGGCGCCCCCTGCGCTGCTCGACTAGTACCCCAAGGGGAATGTCATCTTCATCATAGAATTCAACATCTTCGTCAACCCCAAAATCGCCAAGGCGCTCACCTTCTGAATTTCGCCACGATTCTTCACCTTCATCTGAATCATTCCCGTAGGTAGGGCCTGCTGGCTGGTCTTCATCGCTGTCATAGTTAGGCTCGTCCTGAAAGCGTTCATGGAAGCGCTTGCGTCTCTGGACTGTCGAATAGGGCCTTAGGCGATCCGAGTCGGCTGCTTGTCGACGATCAAATGCTTCGACTTGGTCCCGAGCAGAAGCGTAGGATAGAGGAATTTCGGGATCATTGACGGAGTAAGATCCCTTGGGAATGGGTATGCGGTCTGGGTCCGGTGGAGGCCATGTCACTGAAGCATCTGTTGTGATTTGTGAGCTTATCGACCTGATCAGTATGTGCATTGAGATGAGCCTGGCATACCCTCAAATCCGTTCGTCTTGAATGTCCATCCAGAATTGCGATCGGGACTTGCGGCGAATGGCCAGAACCAACTGAATATCTACAACAGTGTCAGTTCATCTGAAGGGGTGCGTGAATGGTAAAAACTCACGTTGAGTGTATCCCCCCATAGCTTGTACAATGTTTGAAAATATGCCGATATCGTAAGGGAATTCCTGCTTGCGAATCACGATATTGACACCTCCCGGGCCCTCAAGAGAGCCACCTAAGACTCGAGCTCGACGAACAAGAGTTTCGTGCCTCTCAATTTCCCAGGATTCAATTGTGGTCGTATTGAAGAGGATGGTCCCGATCGTGCGTACCAGAAGAATGAATAGGCCAAGCCAGGTCACACTGTTCACGACGATCAAAAGAAGCAAGTGAACTAGTTGTGCTACCGATGGACCGAGGTACTAGGAAATAGTGAGTCTCCTTGCATTAGGAACCGTTGCATGATCAACTCACGCTCGGCATATCCCTCTCGTGCCAGATTATAGATGCACGTTGCCACAAAAGGGTTTCCAGATAGCCCATTCCGAGGACTGTATAAAATAGAAAACGGAAGAAGTGGGGAATGTGAAGTATGAGACGCAGTTTGAAGTCCATGGACAATGGTGATCCATCTTCGGAATGCACCTGAAAATAGTAAGTGATTGGACGAGATCAGATTTAGCTATCGATTGATTTCTTTTTCTTTTTGATCTCACCTTTTGCAAGTTTTACAATGATGAGCCCGAGGTGGCTTGTAGGCCTCACATCTACGACACCATCGTTGGCGCCCTGTGGACTGGTCCTTCTCCTGTCGGGATGGGGCCACCGATTTGCCCTTTAGATCAAGACGTCCAGGGTCTACAAAGCATGCACGATAGTAGCAGACCCAAATGCATAATGCGAAGACATTGAGAGCCCAGCCCTCGTCGAGTGTCAGCGGTGCGGGCTTGAAGTTGTGGAAGAAGTATTGCGAGGTGTAGGCGAGAAAGCTGATCAGCACGCTGACGGCTGGAATCGCTAGTCGCGAAACTTCGAAATTTTCGGCCAACATTCTTTGACCCCAGCTTTCTCCCGGTCGAGGAATGCAGGAAAGAGAGACGAGAACAAGAAGGAGGAGAAGTTGAGGTTGAAGGTGGACGTGTTTATCGCGATCGCATGACTAAGCAGTCTTCCAATCAGCCTCGGCCAACGCGACCAGCACTCTTCCACTTCCACTTCCACACTTCCCCCTTCAAGTCTGCTTGAATCCAGCTGACTGGTGCTATATACAAAATATTCGATTTCTCCCCCGAGTTCCGTGAGCCAGCGAAGGTGCACCCATGTGCAATTGACCCAGCTCTGCCACCATGCCCATCGAGGCTCTCCCGCAGGCCACAGTTCGAGCCATTGGGTCGACATCGGTTATATCCGATCCCTGCTCTGTAGTGAAAGAGCTTGTTGATAATGCCTTGGATGCATCTGCGTCATCCATAAGCGTTGAGCTGTCCCTGAACACCATTGATGTCATCCAAGTCAAGGACAACGGTATCGGCATTTCGGCCGATGACCACCCCGGTGTTTGCCGGCATGCATGTACAAGCAAAATTCAGACAGTCGAGGATCTAAAGAATATCGGAGGAACATCTTTCGGCTTCCGTGGCGAAGCTTTAGCGAGCGTGGTGGAGATGTCAGGCGGCGTCACCGTTACTACGCGAACTACGTCAGAGGTAATTGGATCGTGCGTTAAGTATAGCCGAGAGGGCGAGATTTTGCAGTGAGTCGAACCGAGTGGAATGTCAATTTATGATTTTTTGACTATCCAGCTAATTCTTCTTATAGAAATCAACGAACAGCCCACCCGGTAGGGACGACAGTTCGCGTCACGGACTTTCTCAAGCATATCCCTGTCCGCAGACAGACTGTGCTCAAGGGGACCGCGAAGGCTCTTGCGAAGATCAGAAAACTTCTGCAAGCTTATGCATATGCTCGGCCTTCTTGTCGGTTCTCTCTCAAATTTCTCAACGCGAAAAATGAGAACAACAACTGGATGTACGTACCTAGTCCAGAGGCTGCAATAAGCGACGCGGCAGCCAAGATTGCTGGAAGAGACGCTTCTTCATGCTGCATTATGAAGGATGTTTCATCGAACGTGAATACCCAAAATGAAAACAATTTGACCTCGGGAACATACCACCTGAGTGCCTTTCTTCCACGGCCAGATATAGGTATCGCCTCGTTTTCTTTAGCGTCCGAGATATTCGCTGACTGAGTAGACTTCTCCAAAATAAATCATGTCGGCCAGTTCGTCAGTCTTGATGGCAGACCATTGTCCTCATCCCGTGGAATTTCTCATGACATTGTGAAGTTATTCAAGTCTTACCTCCGCTCGGCTGCTTCCAAAGATGAGTTTTCGAAGACCATCGTCGACCCATTTCTCTGTCTACAGCTCGAGTGTCCACAAGGTGCCTACGACGTGAATATCGAACCGGGAAAAGATGATGTGCTTTTCGAAGATCGAAAAACGATTCTGTCCTTGGCAGAAAGCCTATTCGGAGATTTTTACGGCCAGCTACCAGTGGACGCAAAGAAAAGCCTAACCAAAGACAAGTCTGCATCTTCCACTACAGCGGGAACGGCCACTGGCTTCAATATCCTCATGGCCAGAAAGCAGACTGAAAGGCCGCCACCTAATCAACCAGTGAATGTCAGAAAGCTCCCGGTCAGTCACTCTACCAGGAAGCCACCCTCTCATCCCCCATCCCAAACACGCACCGCCATTTCTCCCCCGAGAGATGAAACAAGAAACTCTCAGCCCGAGTGTGCCAATGAAGATCGCAGCCCAGCAGATCGGAACTCACGTTTCATCAATCCATGGTCTGTTACGAAAATGAATACTCCACTACACACTCCAGGGCGATATGGCCGAAATGCTGCGAGTCGGACACCCCTATCGCCGGACACCCAGCGCCTAGCCCCTACCTTGAGACATACTCCTCAGTCTCCCCCGGACACACCTGATGTCGCTCATCCTGAAAGTCTAAGGGCTCCGTCGGGATCTCCTATCAGCAGGAGACGAGTACCCCAAAGCTCTGCGAGCCCTCCCTTATCAAAAGAGCCCACGGGAAGTAGCTCGAAGAGAGAGGCAAGAGAGCGAGATAAAGAACGTTACGGCAATGGCGCTCTTGACACTTGGTTTCAACGGACAACCCAAATTTCAATGGGTCAAACCCCTCTCGACCAACCTCCCAGTATTGATGACTTGGTTCCCACCTTGTCACAACTAGCCCAGCAAAGATTCGGCGCTGAGGACGACGTCCAGACTATCGACAATGAAATCCCTGAGCTTTCCCAGGATATTCCGACCGGTACATCTGGCGATGCTGGATCATCATCTTCTCCAGAGGACCAAGAGTCGACAGCCAATGCACATGATACCTCCATGAACAGTGGAAGAGGATATCCTGTTCTTGAACACTGGGCTGCCAGCCTCAAAGATGGGTTCAATGCCGGTGGATCATCTGGGTTAGAGTGGGCGATGGACTTCGAACGACGCAAGAAAGAGGCCAACCAAAAACACCGCAGTCGCCCTGTTCCCGACCAGCAAACAAGCGAGCCATCAAGTCAACCACAAAGCTCTCAAGCTTCACAGAGGCCACATCAGAACCGATTCATCGCAGCCAAAGCCGCATTGGCTGCCGACCGCCCTTTCGGCCCTGAGGTAACCTCCAAACCAGCCATTACTCTACATGACCCCAGGGCATATTTGATGCGCCATGAAAGTTCCAAGGCGTCCCGAAACCGGGCTTTGGATGGATCAAACAGCAGACGCCATCATACCAGCCGTTTACCTTTTGAACGGATTCCTGATGGCCATGGTCTCCACGATGTCTGTTTATCCGTGCCAACAGATTTGCCATCGATATCTGACTCCTTTAAAGTTTCAACATCGCACGACTCTTATATTAATGGTGGCAAAGACACTGAAGCTTTTCTTGATCCTGAAATCAACACCCTAGTTCCCATTTGGGCACAGCGGCTGCAATCCATCGTCGCTGGAGAGTACAAGGGATCAGGCAGTCAACCCTGTTCTGATCAAGCTGATCTTGAAACCGTCATCGCGAAGCATCTGAAGCTTCGCTACTAATTTTATTAAACTCGGCCTATATTTAACCGCTTTTTAGCGCGGTCATGACCTGTTATATCCCTTACGAATACGATGATACCCCAATGGCGCACCCCTGATACCTTCAGCCGCCAGTTTAAAATTATACCTTTTGCCAATGAGAAACATACATTAACAGCTAGCCTAATTGAAGCATATTATATTCCCAAAATTAATCGATTCGTTGCGGTCCACCTGGGCAAGTTTTTCTCGACGAGTGGAGAGCCTCTGTCAATGAGGACTTGCACGCTCGAGATGTGAATCCCTTCCACTGCATGAAATAGGGCATTCTGTCCGTTTGCATCAAACCAGGATATATCCGCCTGATGTTCCAGGAGCCATTCCACAAGGCCCTGGCCCCCAGATGCTGCAGCATACATCAATGGAGTCAGTCCTTGGGATGAATTGCTCACGCCATCAATCTCGACGGGCATGACGTGGTTAACTAATAACGTCATGATGTCTCGCTTGGCATCAAATAAGATTTACTTGTGATTCGAATTGAGGATGGAATCTCGTACGCGAAGCCAAACATTCCTTCGCGGAGTATCAACCCGAATAGTGTAGCCTATGCAATCGAGAACGCAATCAGCCATGAAGTCGATATTATTTCCATGTCATGGACCATTCGCAGAAGTGTTGCTGAGCTCCGAAGCCAGAGCAGTGGGATAGGTATTGCCACCTCACCAAAGAAATCAATCGATGATTCAGGTGTCACGCGGCTGGAAAAAGCGATTGCACGCGCTGCGGAGAACAAAAATATCCTAATGGTGTGTTCGGCGGCCGACGACATCGAACTTCTTGCCAAAGACACCTTGCGTTACAGCGCGGCCCGGGTACAGATATTCCGCATCGGCGCGTGTAATTCGCAAGCGCAGAGAGAACCCTCTGAGGACAACCAAACCATTTCGTATTTCCTTCCCGGGATCCACGTCCCCGAGGCGCGCCGGCCACATTCGAGCACGCCGCCCGTCTACCATGACGGGTCGTCCATCGCCACCGCGCTCGCGGCCGGTCTGATGTCAATGATTCTTCACTGTGTCCGCTATATGGCCCAGTGCCAGGAGACTCGTCCTTTCACGCCTGATAATGGGCTCAAGAATAGTAATTATTACACGCGATTGGCAGAAAAGCTTAAGGATCACGCCAGCATGAGAGTGGCCCTGACTAATATTGTCCGATCGCAAGGGTCGCAGCAACCTGATGACCCTAAGCAATTGCCAGTGTACCGGCTTTTCAGAGAGAAGGCCGAGAAAATGCAGAATGCGAACGGATTAAATAAAATCGTGATTCTGGAGGATCTGGTCACAGATTTGTGCAGTGGTATCAGTAAGGACTAGAAGATTTGCTGAGATGCAAGTGCTACTAGTATCTAATTAGTATACCTTATGAGATGAATTTGAAATCTATTTTTTCTCCTGCAAATTAATTAGGAGCATCAATATCACCATCCCACTGGAAGTCAATTGACTCAAAGCACGCAGAGAGCTCTCTTCAGCCTTTATCAATATTCTGGATCATCATCTTCATATAACACAGTTTCTTCGCGATATGGCGGCGGGCAACCACATGCAAATCTCTGCGGTTGTTTGTTTTGGATTTTGTGCTCTCGTTTTTTAAAGCATAAGAAGAAAAGAGATGGGAAAAAAGCATTTTATTTTCAAATATCAAGTGAGATCGACAAGAAACTACTAGGACTAAATAATTCGAAGCTCCAGGCAATGAGAAGAATAACTTGATTTATCCACCTGGGCTAAGATAAAATTAGGTAACCTTTATATGGGCGCGACCCGTCAAAGGCACATCAACATGAAGCACCAACTTCTTATTCTCAGCATCGTACTCGGCATTATGGAGTCCCTTCGGCTTGTGCTTTACGCCAAGAACGGTGACTGTCTCAATGCCGACACCAGCGTCATACTCAAACGAACCAGTCATACTGAACTTGCCGTTCTCGTATTTGAAGTCGATCTCCGACACAGCATCCTGCACAACTGACTTTCCGTCATCGAGGTACAGCGAGCCTTCTGCAGAGCCATCGAGACCGGGTGCAATGACAATGTTGAAGCCCTTCTTACGCAGAGCGGTAGTGGTGTTGGCGCTCTCAATGCGTTGCGGATAGATAATTCCACCCTTGTAGTGGATTGTGATATCTGTGTAGTCAACCTCGGCGGAGACGTACTCGCCATGTCCACGGACGGGCTTTCCGGTGCCCCATTCGTAGAAAATATCGTCGGGGAGATAGTAGCTCAGGCTCGTGCTGTTCTCCTCTGTGACCGGGCTGACGAGGATGCCATCACCGTAGAAGAATTGAAGATCGATCGGGTAGGTGTTTGCGTCGTTCGGGTAGTTGAAGAACAAAGGATTGAGGGACGGAGTACCAGTCTGGTTTTGCTTATAGATGGCAGTGTAGATATAGTCGACTAGTCAATTGTCAGTTATATTTTTCCACCCGGGAAGGTATACTTTTCATGACTTACGGAGCTGATATCTAATAGCGATTCCTTTGCGTGCGGCCTCCGCGACCGTCGGCCAGCGGTAGAACTCCTGGGAAGTCGAGGTGATCTCGGCGTGGTTGCGGAAGAATGTGTAGAAGGAGCCAAGAGAGGCCCATCTGAAATGTGACATTGGTTAGGATTGCTCATTTGACAAAGACCTGTAATTCTCACCTAGCGCATAGCGTTTCTGTTGTATTACCGCCGAAGCCGCAAACATCGGGGCCCACGACGGGGATCTGGTACAGAGATGCAAACTGCAGAATCTGACTGATGGAAAGCCGGTACCATGACCATCCGGAAATATTATCTGTAGCGAATGGAAGTTAGCATCGGGTTGTGACTTTTCATTATAGAATAAGATCAACTTTGACAGCATTCTTACCTCCAAGCCAGTGCGATACGTCCTTTCCGGAGCCAGCGAATGTGCTTCGGGTAATCACCAAGGCACGATCATCTGGACGCCTGGCACGCATGGCATTGTGAGAATGCGACGACATCATAGCGCCATAAAGATTGTGTGTATCATATTGAACATATCCGCCGCTTTGCACCACATCGGTGTCGGCAGTGCTATCAGCAAGTGTGGGCCCTGCACCGTTTTGAATCATATAGGGTGGCCTAATGAGCTCACGACCTGAAAGGCCCTTGCACTCCTTAGGTCCACAGCCAGAACCAGTTTTTCCACCGTGCTGCCATCCAGAATGCGAGGGAGTCTTGTTGGTGCGCCAGTGACCAGCGCCGAGGTTGCGGCGGGAACGAGGCCGGGATTGATCACGTTGGACAATGGTAACTTCGCGCTTTTCTTCTGAGTTTCCAGAAGCAAAGTTCGGCTGAAGACTGGCTGGGAACCCGGGGATGGGGGCATCTGGGCCATCTCGAACCGGTGGGGGCGCAGGAGGGTCACCATCAACCTCTGCGAAATTTTCCGGGGTGGTGTTGTTGCCTGGGTAGGGGCGATTGAAGAAATTTGCGGGCTCGTTCATGTCAATCCACAATGCGTCAATGTCCGGTCCATGCTCTCCATCGAAGAAGTTGCCGAACTGCTCGGTCCAGTACTGCTGTGACTCAGGGTGGAACCAGTCAGGGAAGTAACTCGGACCGGCCCAAACGACTCCCTTGTATTCGGATCCATTTGCTTCCTTCATAAAGGTATCATACTTCAGGCCCCCCTCGAGTGCCGGATTGGTCTCCTTATAGAATACAGCAGGGTCGACCATGACAATGTAATGCTGGTCTCTCGCGTGAATCGTGTCCACCAGGTCCTTGTACAGATTGGCTGGGAAACGTTCAGGGTCAATAGTGAAGATGCGGCGACGATCCATATAATCGATATCAGTCCAGATGGTTTCGAGAGGAATGTTGTTGGTGGAGTAATTAGCGGTAACAGCGGCGACCTCATAGACGTCTTGGTAACCGTATCTACACTGGTGGTAGCCAAGCCCCCAATAAGGAGTCATCAGTGGGAGCTGAGTAATTTCCGCGTACTGAACGGCCACATCGCGAGGGGAAGGCCCTGCAATGAAGTAGAAATCAAGAACACCGCCAAGAATGTTGTACTCAAGAAATTGGCCGCCCTTGTTGTCGATGAAAATATCCATACCATTGGAGTTGAGCAGGAATACTCCGTGAGTGGCATCCTTCCTGTGGTCGAAATAGATGGGGTGGGCACCGTACAGATTCTCACCCTGAGGCGTTCCATAAGCATCGCGAGTGTAGATTGTTCGAGTGTAGTTGGTCGTGTTCAGCATGAACGAGTCACTGTGCTCACCCAGTCCATAAAGGTGCGGGTTCTGGGGCAATTTCGTCTTAAGATAGACATATTGACTCTCGAACACCAGCTTGCTTCCTGAGGTATCGAAAAGTACTTCTCCGGTATCAGTGCGAGATACGGAAAACGAGAAAGGGTCGGCAACAAAGTTGAATTTAAGCTTGGAGTTCTTTGGGGAAATCCATTCGCCATATCCGGGGCGCGGGAAGACACTATCTGGAACCTGGTAGACCGTGTTGTTGGTGTCCAAAATCTTAACGTGGAGTCGATCGCTAGTCTGATATTCCACCTCCAGCTTCAACTTCGGCAGGTCAGTCCCGAAAACATTGCATTCCGGTCCTGCTAAAGACAGATCCGCATAGAATCCAGATTGAGTTTTCCGGTGCTTCGTCGCCTTATATCCTGGGCATTTGGATAGGTCTTTTTCATAGAGATCATTACCCGGGGCATCTAGATCCGCGACACCAGCCTGGCTTTGGGCCAAGGCACAGCCACTCAGGGCTATAGCCGAGGTGACTAATTTCTTGAAGAACATATTGACGCCTTGAAGATCAAATTATCAAACGGACAGATGTTGACCTTATATACATCTCTCGGCCTCTATTCGGAGTTCCCATTGCCAAGGCGGAGCGGAGCGTGTTGTCAGTGCGGCGAATGCAACATTCCCCAAGGCCCGCGATCCCCACCCCGCAAAAATGAATCATGCTATCTTGAATGTCCAAGTTTTGCAGATATTGATCAAACCAGTTTTCTTGCTTCTATCGCTATCGCTGCCGCTTTGCCGATATCGCTCAGAATTTTGTGACATTCCATGGTATACACTACCTGATCCTTCATTCAAAGTTGAAAATGAAGCCAACGGAATCAACAACACGCAAGATGTCAACAATGCAATTATTATATCCTGTTCTTGGCATTCGCCAAATTACCGATTCCTCCGCTAAAAATCCGAGAAATGATGCGGCGAACTTGATTCCAAAGCCAAGACAATGAGATGTACCGGCCCACGATTTTCTATTTCTCCGCTAAATGCCCGTCTTTGTGGGGCTCCGCGGGGCCCCAAAGCTCCTCGGCACCCCACAGCTTCGTTAAATGACTTCTATACGTAGTTAAAGACCCGAATTTCTCGATCTCTTCGTAACTAGGGACGTGGAGCTATCCGATCGGATAACTCTTTGGGTTGTGCGGCAAGGCAAGACACCACCGTGGAAGACAACTGATCACATGTAGAATTTCCGGTCTGCAAATGCCAAGAAAGCCAAGAGAATAGTCATCTTAGATCGGACACTACAATCCAATGACTATTCACTGCCCCTCATCTGCCGGGAGATGGTCATTGCAGCCAACTTCCCGCTCTTATAGCGCACATTTCGCCTAGTTATGCGACTGTCAAGCGGAATTCACATTTAACTATTCTAGCAGAACTTGCCGAGCTGTTTGTCATGGAGAGGCTGCAGTTGGTATCTTAATCATATGACGGGTGCCCCATGTGAATCCCTGCCCCTCCGCATACTGATACTACTATCTATCAATGCATTCTCTGTTTTATTTTAGCCGTCGTACTTCTTATTTTGTTAGCTTGAGCTTATTCTACTTCTTAAAAACTGCCGTTGGGACGAGCTCGTAAATGCATGCTCGAGTCTCAGAGACCGGGGATATGGGATCTATCGCACGGCCAACTCCGATGAATCGAATGCATTTCTCTCAGATGCTGCTGAATTTATTGAATTTTGCATAAAATGAACGTTTTTCCAAGTCAGTATACACTGCTTTAATCAAGAGCTTGTTGAGATCTACGGAAGACATGAACTTATTCCTATGATCCACTCGATGCAATTTATTAGAGCGTCCCTTGCTTCGACGTATACAATGCCACCCAAGACGAACGTGAACGCTGGATCAAATTCTATATATGCATGACCATTGATACAGAGTCTCTGCAAATGCTTAAGGTGCATATGTGGCTGGCCTTGCCAATGATGCACTAGGAGACCTCTATACCAAAGAACGCAGCTGCATGAAAGTCCTTGCACAATTTTGCTCCAAGTGGTTGATTTCTCCATATTTTACGATTTTCAGTCTCTCGAATATCGCGAGTGAGTATTTCCAATAGCTATATAGGTATATCTACCTTGCCAAGGGATTGTTATGAGCGAGTCCAGCTTCCATGTTGGCGGTTGTTAACATTGAAAGTCATTGTAGAGACAGGGTTTCTCCTCGAAATCTCAAACAAGAGAGGTAAATTACTTTCTCCTAGTATCTGCCATATTCAACGTCATGTCTCTATCCAATCGTAATTATGATCAAACTTTACATTGTTCATATTCATGAAACTATCACCCCAATATGTGAGGGAAACGTTATTCAGGCGTAGGCGAAACATATTCTCGAGTGCAAAGTGCTTTGAAGGTAACAAATTCTCAAAGAAATTTTCAAAAAAGAGACGAAAAATAAATTTTATACCGGTTTTTGGCGATCGTGGTCTTGTAAAAATAGCAGTGTCATCATGAGGTGTTGTTGTCGTGGTGCCTCAGGCTTCCAGGCTTCCGTACCTTCGTAGGATGTCTAGATAGCTTCAACTTTGACTTCAAGTTCACTGTCTCCTCCTCTCTTTTCCTATCTCATCCAACCACTGGCACTATCATCCGATCTCCATTCCTCGTGGCTGTAAGCATGTGATGCTTGTGTACTGGAATCCAATACTGACACTATTACCAAGTCCCATACTTTCCATCGATTTCAACCTCACTTCCTCGATCCCCAAAATCGAACACCAAATAGTTTGTTTCGGATCGATTTCACTTTGAAGTACATTTACAAATCAACGCAATTTGAACAGAATGTCTTCTCTCGAATCTCCCGTCGGCACCGTGCCTGAAGCACAGCAGTGTGAAAGTTGCGAGATCTGTCAGCACTTCGCGAGCCTTATCTTCGCTTGGTCGTGGGCACATACGATCGCATTTTACACCGTCATTTCATGTTTCCATTTACTTGCCTTTATTCTCGCCGAAATTCTCTATATCTTCCTCGGACCCTATGTCAGACGCGTCGTGAACTACTTGTACGGGTAAGTTCTGACCCCACCAGCTCATGCTCAAAATCCACAAAAGACGTTTGGTTTGGGGAATCAATCGCATTATCATCCATGCTCTGTATGCATTAAAGCTAAGATATGGGTAACAGGCTATCAACCAACCGCACGAACACCACGGCAAGGGAGTACTCTTGCATTGTCCCCGCACCCGTTAATCGCCCTCATAAGCTCCGCGTTATCCAAGCAAATGGGCAGAACAAACAGTCGAGTCAAAAGCGATCAAAGGACGATGTCGATGCCACGTTTTACCTCTATACGGATGACTTTAAGCGTGGTTGGGCACGCAACGAGATCACCTTGAAAGCCGTTATTTACGTCGGGGACAAAGAATCAGGTGGTAAAGAGTGCGTCTAGTTCTGAGTGGCTTTGATTTCTGACTCGGAACTGTTGAGTTGCTGAATTTCGCTGCGTTCTCCGGGGGTTGTGATGTGATTCCGGAGGTCTATCTCGTTCAGGGATATCAACATTCCTGCTTCTAGCCTCCGCTCACTTTTCTATTTCTATACTTCGCACCTTCAAACCCCCCTGTTTATCACGGGTTTGTTTAGATTGCTGTTTCTTTTCGTTGCTTTCTTTTCAAGAAGATTGTACCTTATTACTGAGGGAGCTCACACTCCATGCATTGCTTTCATCGCTTTCATCGCTTTGATCAGTCTTTTGCATGGCCGTTTGTCATAGGTTGGTTGAGATGCCGCGGTAAATCTATTCAAGGTTCCCACTTCGTTCCAAACAAAACAATCACAAATTCAAGATGGCACACTCTTTCCCAGCATTCCAAGTTGATATTAATAGGAAAGGACCCTAGTACCAACAATTTTGTCCGGTCGCATGCTACTAGTATTATATCGGGTCGAGCCGGAATCATGTTACAAAATATATATCTGAGGGTACTGGTACTATTCTCCTTCAAGTTGTAGGTGCACAACTCTCAACTTGAATTTGAACAGTAACCTTCAAAAAGAAGTTCAAGTTCAACCTCCCGGGCTCAAATTAAGTCAAGAATCCGTAAATATCTATCTACAACATACTACTACTATCCAACTATCCCATCAAAAAAGTACTGGTATACTTCCATCGTCAGAATTTTTCACCGATCCACCGCCAAGCCCCCCCGCTGACAGCCACAACTAGCGACCGTTGGCCCTCGATCGAGCGCTTTGGGCTGACATTTGCCACCACCAAACGAGGGACCCTTCAGAATATGGATACTGAATGGATACTTACGAGAAGGGGGAAAATTACGTGAAATCCACCGATCGCCCGGCGTGGATCCGAAGGAGATTGAGATTACAGATGGACGTGTCTAGCCAGACTGACACCAGGGCATTCCTTGGGCGCTGTGGGAAATGAGATGAGATGAGATGAAATGAAATGAAATGAAATGAGCGGTCACGATCAAAGACAAAATCAGCCCATACGCAGACTCCAAAGGTGAGTGGTGCCCAAGAATCGAAATTGTTTGTGATTTGCTTCCTTGGCTTCGCGGGCATCACGTCACATTTACACACCGACCAACCTAGCGCCAACGCAGAACCTCATTTCTCTTCCCCTGCAAAATGCAAGGTAAGGCTGAAAATATGTGCATAAGACGCTCGGGGACGTAGACGGTGAAGGGTGAGTGGGTGACTACGGAAATGAGCCCCCGATGAGCATGCAGGAACCCGGCCCACTGCTAATTTGCGGTGCTGTGCGCTTACCAAGGCTGAATCAAAGGGTGCCCGGGTGGCTGGAAGAATATGCATTCGGGCATCGCATGTGGAGAGGAGAATTATTGTACGTGGGTAGGTAGGGTAAGGGCAAAATATGACCCGGGAGGAGTACGATACTCCGTAGATGACCCTCAGGGCTAGACCAACTGTCCGAAAGTCCGCGCTAACCAGTTCGCCCCTGGACGAATAACGAATAACCTCAGAAACAGAGTCTCGCCAAGCCTTGTCCTAAATGTATCGTACCAGTTCCAACCCACTTCACGGTGCCTAGATCGACTATCTTGCTTGGCAAGAAGAGATGTGGTCGAGACCGGTGTGCCCAGGTGTTGTGGAGATGTGGTCGAGTTTTCTCGGATCTTAGCGAGGTGGGCACTATGGAGGTGGATGGATATGAATACAATTCATATTTACATATTCTAACCAGGGTTTGTGAGTGTATGTGCGTACTGCTCCTCACTGTACGTATTCGTACACAACTTGAACTTGAAATACGCCGGTCGGGTTTACCCCTGGATGGGACTTGGATGAACTGGAGGGCTCAATCACACTTGCGTAAGACATTTAATTTTAGTCTGGAGAGTCGGCAGCGAGTCATCCGAGACTAGCGATTGTTATTCTCGGCCTGACCATTGACAATTGGCCATTGAGGAATTAGGGGGGCGGCCCCCCAAGGAATCAATGCAGTAGCCTTGTTGAACATGTCGGCAATTCGATTCCCCGCAAACGATGCCGTTGTGCTGTTGCATTACACAGCTATGAGTATGAAAATAGGAGGTCACTACGAAGGAGGCAGTGCGAGTACTCGTACTCGTACATAAACGGAGTGGTATATGGAGTTGTAGGCAGAATGTAACTTAAACTTGGCAGATTCACAGAGCCATGGCCTCAGGTCTAGACCGGGCGCATTGGGATCAGCATCAGCATCGGCCAACTGGGGCCGCGTTGTTGGAGTGGTGATCGTCGGAAGATGCGGATGTGTTCAAGTTGGTCGAGGGTTATTTATGTATTGATGGCCCCGGGGGCTAACACGATGGAATTGGGTTTTGTTTTTGTTAGTATGGGCTTTGAACAGAGCACAGCTAAAATGATCAATTATTCTATACTCAATGGTACTCATTCTTGTACTCCGACTCGTAGTTGAATAGTGTATTTGTTGTGCATAGCCGCCTGGAGCAGCGATCCAAGCGATCGGCGGTTAGCGGGTGACGAGTCTCTGAGCGGTTGGAGATGCAAGTGCGATCTTCCTCTGTTGTATACCCCATGAATGGAGGAGATGGCTGTTCAGACCCATGGTTGCATTGATGAATGAGGGGCCACCATGTCATCGATGGAGTGTTGAATATGTGTGTTATTGAGGAGTGGATGGAGTACATGTCTGGAATTGTGCGGGAGTACCTGGATGGATCCTTGGTATCAGCCGTGTACCTCAGTGGTCCTGTGTAATTGACTAGTGCTGAAGCAGGAGGTACTAAGAGTACACAGAGTCACGATCGGCAGGGCGGAGATTAAAGATGGGCGAATTGGCAAATGATATTCTTGTATATGACTCCACCAGGCTGCCACTTAGCCCGTCTGGGGATAGCGGGGCCACATGGCGCAGGGGCATTTCCTGTTTTTGTGTGGTTCGTTTTTGAGTTCCCCTTTTTGTATAATACAGAGTTGTTGGTGGTGAATAAAATGTAGTAGACTGTAGATAGAATGTATAACAGACTGCAGAGTATGAGTAGAATAGAAGATAATGCAATAGAAGTGGCCAGTTAAGTGAAATAACCAAGTGCGGTGTCCCGTGATCGCCGAGCCCTATCTTGCACTTCACGGCAGTAGACTTCACTGCAAGCTGTCAGGGGTCGCAAGGGGCGGAGTGAGACACCTATTTTTGCACATCCGTGCTCTCCTAGTACATCCAGTACTCCGTAGGTAAATAAATACTCGAATACAGCATGTGTATCCGTGGTATCAGTCTATACACTAAGTGCCTCCTCGGTGCATCCATCTCCACTCTGCCACCACCTCACCAATAACACTTGCAGTGTGCCTGGACATCTCAACCTAGTCCGTATGGATCCCCCGTAATGTAATTTAATATTCACGATCGGTGGAGATGCGCCCTTTTGTCTTTGGTCTTTGGTCTCTCCTTTTCCCCCCTAACTCTGCCTCCGCCACTCTGCCTCTCCCAGTCTGACAAAAGGCCTTGCGTGCCCACTTCCCCGACTCTCCTTCTTTTCCCTCCTCAACCCACGTTCCTTTACAACCTGACCACCGCTTCACTCGTTCAGCGGGCTTTCCCTTCTTTGCCGCTAAATCCCTATCATCTTCCATAATGAAGGGTTCCATCTTTGCGGCCGCCGCCTTTGTCGGCTCGGCTATGGCCGACGGTGCTCTGCACCGCCGCCACGAGGCCTTCCACCGTCGTGGTGAGGCTGGCTCTTCTTCTTCCTTCGTGGCTGCTTCGTCTTCCGCCTCTGTTCTTCCTCTGAACCCCGAGGAGACCTGCGGTTGCACTACCAAGGTCATCACCTACTATGGCTCGCCCACCCTGGTGCCCATACCTCAAACCTCCACCAGCACCGAGTCGACCTCCACCTTGACCAGCACCATCCACTCGACCAGCACTCTCACCAGCACTCTGACTGTGACTCCCTCCGTCGAGGCCACTGCCACTTCTACTCCTACCCCGGAGACCTCGACCATCATTGTGTCGCTGCCCACCGCTGGTGTCTCCAGCTTCTCCTCGACCGGTGTCTACACCATCCCGGCCACCACTCTGACCGTGACTGATACCACCACCGTCTGCGGTGCCACCACTACTGCTGTCCCCAGCGGTACTCACACCATCGGTGGTGTCACCACTGTCGTTGAGACTGAGACCACCATCACCTGCCCCTACGCCACCGTCAAGCCCCACGGCTCGACCGTTACCAGCACCATCGAGTACACCACCTATACTTGCCCTGCTGCTGGTACCTACACTGTGGTCCCCGGTACCGTCACCACTGTGCCCACCAGCACTGTCCTTGTCTACCCTACCCCCCAGACTTTCACCCCCGGTACCTACACTCAGTCCTCCAGCGTCGTGACCGTCACTCGCACCGACACCACCTACTACTGCCCCTACGCCAACGGCGAGTCCTCCACTCTTGCTGCTAACCCCAGCACCAGCTCCGCCCCCGTCCCCGCCGTTCCTACCACCACCGCTGCTGCCACTACCACTGCTGCTGCCACTACCAGCTCCGTCGTTGCTGTCACCACCAGCTCGGCTGCTCCCTCCAGCACTGGCGGCACCGGCAGCGGTGTCACCGGCGCCGGCCAGTACGGCATGACCTTCTCCCCCTACACTTCCGAGGGTAACTGCATGTCCCAGTCCGAGGTCACCAGCAACCTGAAGACCATCAAACAGAAGGGCTTCAACCTGGTCCGTGTCTACTCCACTGACTGCAACTCCCTCGAGTACATCGGTTCCGCCTGCAAGTCCCTCGGTCTCAACATGATCCTCGGTGTCTTCATCGAGTCCTCCGGCACCTCCGGCGCCGAGGAGCAGGTCACTGCCATCACCAAGTGGGCTCAGTGGGATATGGTCGAGCTGATCGTCGTCGGTAACGAGGCCATCTCCTCCGGCTACGTCTCCGCCTCTCAGCTCGCTTCCTTCATCACCTCCTGCAAGTCCTCCTTCGAGGCTGCCGGATACACTGGCAAGGTCACCACCACCGAGCCCATTGATGTCTGGGAGCAGTACGGAAAGTCCACCCTGTGCAGCCCCGTCGACATTGTCGGTGCCAACATCCACCCCTTCTTCAACTCCGACACCACCGCCGCCAAGGCCGGTGAGTTCGCCCTGGCCGAGTACAATATCCTCGAGAAGCTCTGCGGCAAGGACGTCCTGAACCTGGAGACCGGCTGGCCCAACGGTGGTTCCGCCAACGGTGCCGCCGTCCCCGGTGCCTCCGAGCAGAAGACTGCCATCCAGGCTATTGCCAAGTCCCTTGGCTCCAAGTCCATCTTCTTCTCCTACGCCAACGACGACTGGAAGGCCCCTGGTGACTTCGGTGTCGAGCAGCACTGGGGTTGCGCTGATGTCTTCTAAACATGTCACCCCCGATGTCATGTCCCTGTGATTTAAAACTTGTACAGGAGGATCCAGGAGTTTTTCTTTTTTCTTTCTTAGTGGCGGGTAGCTGGTCGAACTGATCACTGCTATTACCCAGCAGTGAAAATTCACGCTCAGTGCGCCTGGTCGCTCTTTTGGTTTCTCGTGTCTATCTTGGACTTACGTGGTAGATATCCTTTTTTATTTCATGTCTACTGATCCTGGTCGCCATCCGCCTGATTTCTTTGTTTCCGCTAATTTGCGATTGTCTGTATATCTTTATTCTATTGATGCACTTAACGAACGGTAGTCTTTTGACGTAGTTGTAGTTCTATGCTCAATAACTTTTCTCCAAACCCTGCCCTTCCTAAATCACCTTGTAACTTTCAAGCCTTCCTATAAATACCCACAAAAACATGCTTCCATGTCTACGACCCAGCCTCATAGTACCATCCCATGCATATTCTTTGTCTGAAACACCCGATCTCCGGACCGACCCGCCGAAACCACAACATGCACAATCCTCAAACAAGACCCGCCATCTAAGCATTTTCCCCAATCAATCTCCGACGACCAGGTATTCGTCACAAATGCTTGGTCTCGTTTACCGATCGTACTCGTAGATCTCTCCCTGCAGATGATCTACACAGATACGGAGTACGATACGGATCCGATCCGATGTTTCAGTGCCCAGCCTGTACAGGGAGGCGCATCAGCAGCCATCTCATCTCCTTTATTTCGTGTACCCTTGCCCCAGCCATCTTGTCCATGAAGATATCTACTTGGCTTTGGCTGTCCCTTGCCTGAGGCACATGCTGTGGTTTCACATCTTTAGGGGTATTATAATGACGGACTAATTCATGTTCCTGGATGCTGATGCTGACAATGTATTCACATGATTCATATCTGGGTCTGGCAAGTACAAGTTCGGCGCAAATTCCGATACACACTGGCATGCTACAGTGGTGTTGCAAAAATTTGAGACCTCCTATTGCCCATCATTATGGACCGTCTTCTAATGGTGGGCAATACTAGGAGATTTCAACCTTCTGCAACGCCACTGTAACTAGTACCTCCCCAGATACCATCTCAAACGTAACTCATTTACCTCCACTTATTATTCCAACCAGCCTGCTCAACTGCAAAAGCAATAGCCAATTCACTGAATCGTGCCATATGCTGCAATGACATCCCATCTCATCTTAGCAAATGACCCACAGATATACTCGTAGAAACGGAAAGGGAATCAAAAAATAACTTGAACTCACATCAACTGAAAAATATCCCGTCTTATCATTGACCCACATCGTGTCATTAATACCATGCACATAAGGATCATATTCACCAGGGAAACCACCGCCAGCAACAGGATTTCCTTCCGACGCAAAAGAAGCTGGGTAATTGAGTTGTGTGTAGGACATATAGTCCGAGCCAGCATTACTAAAGACTTGGTCAGAAAAAGCCTTCCACCCTTCCAGGCAAATGGATGCGGAGCAACATACCCAGGAAGATCATAAACCTCAGTAGGAATAGAGATATACTTCTGACTCAAATTGACAGCCCAGTTAGTGAGGACCTCATCAGCCTCTGTAGCAATAAACCCAATAGACTCGGTTGCATTCGTAGCAATGAATGCGGTCATATCCTTATAAACTTAATCAGCATCTGTACCAAGCCAATCATTTCTTAACTGCACTCTCTCTTTCACGAAGGGCGACTCACAAATTCCATCATAGCCCCAATCCGCGCCCCCTGCTCTTTCTTGTACCTCGCAATAGCCTGACTACCCAACAACCCACCCTCCTCAGCAGCATACCAGTGAAACTCAACCGGTCCATCCTGGGGCACGAATCCCGCCTCGGCGAGGACACGGAATGCTTCAAGGATACTGACAGTCCCGGAGCAGTCATCGTCTGCACCTGGGGCGGGGAGGAGGGGGAAGAGATAGTTAGCTGAATCCTGGTGTGCGCCTAGGATTGTCAATGGTTGCTTGAAGTTGCGGACTTTGGGCTCGAAGCGGGCGATTATTGAGGATTGGCGGAATGGGTGGGTGAAATATTCGAGGGAGATGTGGGTGTGTAGGGGTGATTTTGCGATTATCTTTGAAAGGTTGCGAGGATTTGTTAGGTCTGCTTGCTTTTTGCCCGGTGGCTTTCTGCTGTGTTGTGGACTCCACTCATACCTGGGAGATATGGTTATAAAGCCACTCAGAGCTCAATTCGCCGTGAATATCGTCAAAATAGCGATTATAATATCCAGTCATGTGTTCAAGTACGCCAAACATTCTCCCAGTATCAACGAAGGGGAAAAGAGGTCTGATAAGGCGTTCATGAACCAGATCAGGTAGACCTGAAATAGTTAGTTGTTAACTACTATCGCCAAGATGAAGGAAAAAACTAACGAGGCTTCCCAGCCAAAGCATCAACCTGCTCCTTATAAAAATCTTCATGATCAGTGATATCCATGAATTTAACCCCCTCCCTCCGCAACCTCATCTTATCACCCTCAGTCATCCACTCCGCCTTGGCATTAGGAGCCCCCAGTCTGCGCAAAAGACGCGGCTCAGCCAACGCTGCTTCGGTCTTTGCTCGAGCTTCATCTTCACTCTGGAGCGAGACTAGTGCGGCCACTGGATCTGCATGAGTCTCGATTGCTGATAGTATACTTTCGTGAACGCTGTGATCGCCATGCGGGCGCGACACGCCAGCGACAACGCCAGCGTCGCCCGAGCCTGAGGTTGAGGCCGAGGCCTAGGGGATCGGAGCTAGGACGCGTTGGAGGTCGGGTATTGCGACCGTTAGCTGGGCGGCGCCGAGGAAACAAGCTAGGAGAGATTTGTGCATTGTTGTTGATGATGGGGTAAACAACTTGGATATGGATTTGAGGGGTTTCAAGTCCGTTAAATGGCCCTGCCTGACGTCGGAGCACGCGAGTCAGTGCGGAGTTGGCTACTCCGGAGTCCGACGTGATAGCTGACTGGCCAATCACAGTTGAGTATTTCAATGTTGGAGGCAAATAAATGCTACGGCAATCTATTGTGTTAATATGATTGACCGAAATTGAATTGAGAGCGGTAGTGAAGTAAAAAGAGGTAGCAAATTGTCTAGACCTAATATAGGTTGAGCGATATCAAATTCTCTAGTTACGCAACTCTCACATAGTTTTAGGAACCGGGTTCTTCATTCGGTAGTAGTAACCGTCCAGAAAGGCCGCTGTCTTCAATCTCCCCTTTTCTCTTGCCGCCTTCTCTGCGTCACTCAGTATTTCTTTCCACTTCTCCAGTGAGAATCCCCGCGATTCTAGCACACTCAGCATTATTTCAATTTCCTTGGTATGCCCCGACTTGGCAAAATTGACCAACACAGTATTGGAGTTACCTCCTCCATCCCACAAGGGATCCGCCCCATGATCTAGCAATAATCGAACATTATCCTGCAGGCTGACCTGTCCGGTACCATTGCTATAGGAGTATCGTGTGAGATGGTGGTGAATACGGCTCAGACTGGAGCTCTGCTGTGTGTCTGCCACAACCCCATGCGCGACTAGAGTGTCCATGGTAGCCGCTCTTTGAACTATATCACCACTTACACATGTCAAAAGTGGACAATGATCCTCTGTGGGCTGGTGGAGGTTCTCTATTGGGCATTCTTTGAATAGAAGCTTGATTGCAGCCACGTCTGATGTTCTTGCTGCGAGCTCGAGTGCTGCTTGATATCCCCAGAGGGCACTGGAGTCTGCCTGATACCCAGCCGCGAAGAGACGTTCCATCGCTGCTACACCACCATGCGTTGCAGCTTGAATCAAGCTTTGAAGTGGTGCGGCCCTGTCTGTATCGTGTGGGATGATTGGGAAATCCTCAAACGGAACTCTCCCGTCTAGGAAATCGATCATGCCAACATTCCCTAGCATCAAGGCGCTAAGGAGATTAGATCGCTTCTTGGACTCGGGCAGTTTTTCGAACTGACGAGCTCCGACATCAAGCACCAATTGTAGGATACCCGAGTTTTCGGGCGACTCGAAGGCCTTAGAAAATGGCGACTTAATCGCTTGATAATATATGCAATCTGGTCCGGCTCTACGATCCATGGACATCATTCCGATTCCACAGTGGGATGTGGAATGTGCGTTTGCTCCGCGTCCCAGAAGCATTTTCACAATACTCCGGTGACCACCATCAATTGCGAAGAAGAGTGGACTTGGAACATGATAGACAGACGGGGTTTGGAGGTCGACTATCCCGGCATCGGCGTGTGAAAGTAGCTTTTCAACAACGTGATGATGCCCTCGATGTGATGCCAGTGCCAATGGGGATCCGTACGTTAGACTGGGGTACCCCTCGGTCCGGCCCCTTTCTTCGGCAGGCCAATTCTGCCCTTCAAACTCCGCAATCCGACCCTGAGGGGCATTAGGTGGATACACTCGCTCGAGTAGCTTTTCCACAATATCGCCCCACCCACATCCAGCGCTGACGAACAAAAGCTGGCGATAATTTTCATGGAGAAGCTTCCCATCCGAGATGACACGTTCTAGGTCCAAAGCCCTTCGAAATTGTTCCGCGGTAGCAAAATTCCCACTATTCGCAGCCTGGATCATTGGGGCAACAAGGAGAGTCGCATTCGACACTCTCGGATTTTTATCGTAATCCAACACACCATGATCCAAGAGAAGGCCGACGATTTCCTGGTTACCGTTCCCAGCAGCAGTACAAAGAGCGCCAAAGCCAAGACTCAACCATCGGTTATTAAATTTCGGAGAATGTATTAAATAATTGACGATGCCATAATGACCTCTACCGGCTGCATCGGCGAGCAGATTTCCCCCTGGAAGATCGAAGACCTGTTTGTCGAGCAGCTTCACAATATTTAGGTGACCTTTTGACACAGCTATTTTGAACGGTGTCATATAACTCTCCTCATCGATGATGTTTGGATAAGCCCCTTTGGATAGTAGCAGTCTGACAATATGTTCGTGACCGTGGGAGGCGGCAAGTAACATCGGGCTCGTAGTAGTACGGGGCTCCAACATCTCCCAGTGGCTATTTTCGCGATTGGGAGGTGTCATGAATCCTTTAATCGAGTTCAGATCGACACTGTGTTCTATCAGCAGGCGGACAATAGGCTCATGTCCCTGTATGCATGCCACAGCCATCGGGGGCCAACTTCCAAAGCGAGGAAGATCATATTCTTCAGTGACTGAAGCCTCAGCTTCAAGAGCGCAATGAGCAGTTGACTCTATACCGTTCATTGCCGCCCATCCCAATGCGCTGGAGCGAGATTTGCGAACATTATGTTCGTAAAGCGAGTAGTTCAAGCAGCTGGCAAGCTGCCGGCAGGTTTGGAGAAGAGCGTTTATGCAGTACTCGTCGTCCAGGTAATCAGAGATATAGCAAATTAGTTCAGTTGGCAATCCGAGAAAAGACATTTTGGGTGAATGAAGAAAAGTTGAAGATTTTTTAAATTTTTGCTGGGAAAAGTCAAGAAGAAAGATAAGGTAAACCGCGGATGCCGCCCAGCTGCGACCCTTTTTGGGAAACATTACGTCGTCTTGATCATTCAATATGACAAAAGCAAGAACAGCACTGAATTAAATAAACGCTCTGAAGCATCCAAAGTCCCTTAAAATGTTTAGAAATTTTTTAAAAATATGGTATATAGCAACCCGTGAGAAAGAGTATTGACAGATGACATTCTGTGAATGACGTTATGTACAGCATTACTTCTTTCAAAGGTTCAATTTAATTGCAATACGTTTCACAAGAGAAAGTTTCAAGTAAATAATCATCGAAGCCGCAACATTTCTAGTGACGGAGGCCATCGAGGTCTTGTGAAATACTACTACTGAAGAGATGATGGGATCAAAACGAAAAGATGAGATGAAGATGAATGTGAAAAAAGGGGGAGCCCCTCATGCAATATTTACCCATTTAATAGTTACAAAAGGTATGTAAAAGCAAATGACTAAACAAAGCGATGAAAGCGATGAAAGCGATGAAAGCGATGAAAGCGATGAAAGCGATGAAAGTAATGCAGGCAATGCGTGAAGTATGAAGTGTGAAGTGTGAGACTCAGCCACAGGCCTCAGTAATTTCTGATAGACTCTCTATGGGAATACAATGAGTAGTAAAAAAAGATACTTGTACAAAAGAAAAAGCAAATTTCAATAATTTGAAGATTTGGCCGGAGCGTCACACCGAAGTCTGGCTGTAACCATGATCGAATCAGGAGTCGATCAAGTAAAAATGGGAGGATTATACTCAGTTGTGCATGCTCTTCTAGCTATAGTCTCGCTTCCTTGAGGGTATGGGAAGTCAAGAAGCTTTAAAATGTATGTTACAATCGGACCAGTCGCTGATCACTTCCTTCCATTCCTGCCCTCCCAGCCCTTGCGTATTGGCTCCCTGCCCCTTTTTCCATCATAATTCCTTTTCATCCGACACCAAGGTGATCCGTTATTACCGATACTAGCTACCACGCTAGACAGTCGCGCCTGGGCGCAGAATAATCGCTTCGCATCACGCCCGGTCTACAAGCCGTGAATTATTTATGCCAATGCATCAATATCTATGTGGTCCGGGACATCCTCATACATAACTTCATCCGGAATATCTCACCCCCTTGCATATTTCAAAGATACCAATCTTAAGAAAGGGATTGCATGACCCCTCACAAAATTAAATCTCTAATTACGACGTCAGAGCTTTTAACTAGTCAACCTCTACTCATAACTTCCATGAACAGCCCCGGAGGTACGATAGCACCTATAATATGGTTGTTTCTCCTATCGTGGAAGATGCCGAGCCCTTGCTGCTTGATGCGGGAGATGACATCTACAGTCTCGAAGAATTTCCACAAAATAGCGTCGGTCTTGGAGACTCAGACTTCCCAGAATATCAGCTCGAATGGTCGGAGTCCTTCAAATGGGGCGTTGTGGCCTTATTATCTTTTATGGGGTTTACCGTGTCTGTATATCTTCGAATATCTGGGTTTCACGTTGAGGCTAACTTCATCAAGCTCTTTCACTTGCATCTCGATAGCCCCAGTGGCAAGTTATATAGTCGAGGATCTTGATGGGAGTGCTGGAACCAAATCCGCCGTACTTCTCGTCACAATTTGGGAGCTAGGCGAGGCAGTAGGCCCGCTCTTTATTGCGCCGCTCTCTGAGGTCTTTGGTCGTTACCCCCTACTCATAACATTGAATCTGGTCTTCGTTATGGCCACCATATTTGCAGCTCTTTCACCCAGTTCGATACTTCTCATTGTCTCGCGTGCGCTGATGGGCATGTCAACAGCGTCAAACGTTTTAAGCCCAGCAATTATAGGAGACATTTTCGAACCCGAACAAAGGGGCTCAGCCATCAGTTTGATCACATTTATACCCCTTATCGGTAGTAATTTGGGATCAGCAGTTAGCGGCATTATTATGGAGAAGCTAGGCTGGCGCGCTATAATCTGGATTAGTGTCGTGCTGACGAGCATCTGCCAGCTCTTGCTAGTCACTTTTTTCAGAGAAACATACAAGGTGTCGATTCTCAAAGGCAGGGAAGCCAGGTTGGGTTCGGAGAAAAAGAGAATTCATAGGGTAGTCCTAGCCGACTTGCTAGGCTGCATCATGCGTCCCGCCATGGTTCTCTTAAGCTCTGGTGTGCTAGCAGCTCTCGCACTGTTCGGGTCCATCATCTTCGCACATCTCTATGTGGTAGCCACCACGCTTCCAGTTATCCTGAAAGACACATATGGCTTGTCAGCAACTGCGACAGGGCTGTCTTTCCTCGCAAATGGTAAGTCTGAATCGTTCATCTTCCTTATTCAGCCGCGGACATCAAGCTCACACAGTCTATTTAAGGTCTCGGCAGTGTCATGAGCTTCGCGATTTTGATTCCCTTTTTGGATAAAATTTATATGAAGCTCGGCGCAGGAAAAAGGGGCGGTCTACCAGAGCATCGTCTGCCGTTAAGCATTATCGGCGCTCTCACATTGCCTCCTGCTGTATTGCTGTACGGTTGGTGCGCCGAGTACAGACTCCCCTTGCCTCTTCTTTTGTTCTCCGCCACCTGGATTAGGTTGTCTATGATGTTAGCCTTCTCGCCTTTGACGTCTTACGTTGTGGATGCGTTTGGCGTTTACTCAGCATCTGCTCTGGCTGGCCTCGTGACATTCAGATGCTTAGCCGGTGCGTTCTTACCGCTCACCATAACGCAGATTACTGAAAACTTTGGCTATGGTTGGGGATTTACTCTGCTTGGAGTCTTTGGCATGGGTCTCGCTCTAATCCCAGTGCTAGTTATACGTTATGGGTACCATTGGAGGCAACGCTCTAGCTACACTGAAAATAAATGATAGTCGAGTACGATCCTCATAGGTGGTCAATGCTCTGTTGCAATTTGGATACTGAGAGTAGAAAGACTAAAGTTGTTTTTCATAGATTCATGTCTAAGACCGATGCTATCAAAGAGAAGTGGCAACTGCCGATTTGCATAAAAAGTTTCATACTCGTACTCGCTGAGAGAGTAAGAATGTCCATTGAAGTGTTCCAGCACTCTAGACCAAATACCTGAATCCCTTGCGCATGCACAGCGACTCGTTGGCACTGACAATAAAGTCGCCACCCTGGTCTTCATCAGCAACCTCAGCCTCAGAAAGCTGCTTGTTCAGGTTGACAAGGATCATGCGGAATAGCCAGAAGCCAACGATTGTAATGCCGAACATGGCTGTGACAATGCCGTAACTCTTGCGGTAACCGTTCTCCGAAAGGTCCCACACGTATGAACCAGCCACGTTACCGAGTTGACTGAAAGCGTTGATAAGGGCAAGGGCGACGGCTCGCTTGGCTGGGGGACGAGGGAATGAGGAACTGATCCAAGAGTAGAAGACGATAAAGCCAGCGTAAGAACCGGCTTGCAGGAAGAGAGCGACGTAACGGGCTGCGACGTTTAGAGTGGACATGCTGATGATAAAACCAACAAGACCCATCACGATAGGACCGTAAATATGCCAGATCTGAGAGTCGTTAGCTTGATGTCAAGTAGGTTGCTAGGGATATCAACTGACCTTTTCTTGGGTTCTGTCGGCGTGCCAGGCGTTGATGACAGAGAAGATACAGGAGAAGACCCAGGGAGGAGCACTCAGGAGGAGGGTGGGGATTTCCGAGAAGCCGAGAGTACCAGTAAGGGTAGGCTGTGGGATTTCATGGTTAGTGGTGATAATCAGAAACCTCCGAGTCTGAAACTTACGAAGAAAGCATTGAAAGACAGTCCAACAACGTAGGCAGTGAAAGACAACATCATGATGTAGATCTTCCAGTCCTTCAGGGCCATGACAAGACCAGTGAAGGGACTTTGCTCCTCAGAGTCGGTATCAGCCTCACCAACATCCTCAAGGATGCGAAGCTGCGCAACCAGACGCTCCTCCTCGGTAAAGCCACGTGCATTGGTAGGCAAGTCAGGCAGGATGAAGCCAGCAGAGATCGCAATGGTCATGGTAATGGCGCCCTCGATCCAGAAAAGCCAGCGCCAAGCAGCATGTCCCAGGACACCTTCCATGTTGGAAAGAACACCCGCGGCAACAAGCGAGGAGAAGGCATTTGAGATGAGGTTACCACAGAATAGAATCGCATTCCGAGTAGTCAGCTCCTTGCGGGTATACCACTTGGAGAGGATAAGGAGAGCACCGGGAAGGAAGGCGGCCTCAACAAAACCCAGCAGGAAACGGATGGCAACCATGTGGCCAAAGTTCTTAGCCCAGCCAGAGCAAGTCGAGATGATACCCCAAAGTGTCATTGCGATGGCAATGTAGATGGATGGTCGGGAAATGCGGTTGATGAACATGTTGGAGGGGACCTGCATCAGAATGTAGCCCACGTACAGGATACTCAAACACGTCGAGTACTGTGGATCTGAGAGGTTAAGATCATCTTGAAGACCCTTCAAGCGGGCCGCTGAGATGTTGTTGCGGTCGAGGTAGTTCATGATGTAGATGAGAACGAACAGACTGCAGCGAGCATCGAGCTTGCGCTTAAGGGTCTTCTCAACAACGACTCGGCGAGCCGGGTCAATGTGAGGAAGGACATTCTGCTGCTCAGAAATATTTTCGAGATTTTCAATTCTCTCCTTCTCGACCTCGACCTCGATGCGGTCATTGTTGTTTCGTGAGATGTCGTCGGCCATTGTGAAGGTATTTTCTCTTGCCACCCAAATTCGCACACCGAAAGAAAAGATCTCGCGTCAGGGGATTTCCGTTCCTTTTATGAAAGAGCAGGCTCGTACCAGAACCCCATCCCCACCAGTCCTGTTGCGTCCTCACCCCGGTGACCCCCACGCGAAAATATCGAAACACGCGGGGGTTACAGTGGAGATTTGCCTTGGCGTCCGGACCTGGGACACCCCACGGAAGGGTTTCTCGGCTACAAAGTTGTCCGAGTAGCGG